TACCTCGGCATCACATTTTATTTTGTAAAGAACTAAACGTTTTGTTTGGAAAAAAAAAAAATATTTCCTCACCTAAACAATTGTGTACAAAAATGGCTACAAAAATGGTCCATGGTCTTTACCTTCATTACTATATTGTAATTGCCAATTCAACCTAAAAAAGTGCATTAACATGCAGAACTTTTTTTTCTGACAGTTTCAGTCATGTGCAAGTCTTTATCGGATTACACCTGACACATAAGCCCAGAACGCTTTGTTTCCAATTGGATCCAGAGACATCTGTCTTGTGCTTAAAACATATATTAAACGAGATCATCAGTGTTCATCCTCAACAACAACGATTGTTCATACGAAGAAACTTTCGTAACTTTGAGGTAAAAATGGCTCCACATTTTTCAAAATTACCATGTTGTAAAGTATCAATCAATATTTCATTATAATTTGGCCGTGGATCAGAAGCAGCACTATCATTTGCGAACAGACGCTGCTCTGATATCGGTACAATTATGTTGTTGCACTAAAGTTCAGGAAACAATAAATATATTATTACTGAGGGAACTGGTTGCTTTGAAACCACAAATTAAAAATAGTCTCAATTAATTAGTCTCAAAAAAGTTTTCTTTAATTATGTTTTAATCCCAACCACCAGACTTTCGTCTTTAAAAAACCTCCGTTTAAGAAGTATTTTGTGAAGATTTAAAATTAAATGATTAAAAAATGATTTGTTTCAGCTTTGTAACTTGCTGACACTTTATGACTACGGAATACAACAGGACGAGAATATCTCACTCCGCCTGAGTACTGATGGCCTACTGGGCGGTGGACCAAAAGGTAAAGTAAAATAATATATCTTGCGATGCCACATCGGCCTATAAAACTATATTCATGCTTGAGCACATACGTTTTTATGTCGCCTAAACAAAGTTTTTGGAGACACCAGTTTTTAATTCTGTATGAACCTACGGTCATACAGAATTTAGGACCCGTATGTATGTTGCAGTGTAAGTTAAGCGTTTTTTTAATGTATAACTTCTACAGGCTGACAAGGATTTTAATAAAACCTAGATGCGGTGACCCCTGGGTGGGAAGACAATATTCCCCATCGGATTACTTAGGTCAAAGGTCATGTGTGGGTCATTACAGATCATTGTTCATATATGCTTTAAATGTTTCATTGTCAACATAATTTGATGGATTTTAATGTAACTTAGAAGGAGTGATCCTTGGGTAGGGGTTCGTCACAACTCAAATTGGAGGTCAAGGGTCATATAAAGGTCTTTTGAGGTCTTTGTCTTTGTACAAAACGTATTGCACGCAAAGACGTGAAAGTAGGTCAACAGAGATTTCCGTTTCCACGAAGGGACGGGCATCTTTGTTACATTATCAGCTGCGCGCCCGTAATCGAACACGTGCGCCATTCACTTTGGAAAAAAGTGCACTCAGTTTAGTCGGGCACCATTTGCAGTCATCAGCCGACATTTGAAGCAAAAAACAAACAAACAAACAAACAGGTAAAAAAAATAAAAAGCCGCGTCGCCGCACCACTTTTGGGGCAAGCTCCATACCAGAAACCGGAGACTTTTGGGTGCACAAATATCCCCGTTCCGTCTTGGACGCTCTACGCGCAGTACTTAGTGCGTGGGGTAAAACTTGCGTTACGTGCACCTACATTCCTGTAGGTTTGTGCACAAACTTGCCTTTTTTCCGTAAAAGTAACATTTTTGACCAGTAATTATGTCACCAACAAAATTCAATATAAAATTTCAAGCTGGATAGTCACCTCGAAGTTCGCTCTGTTTTCCCCTCGTATTTATTTTTTCGTTTCAACATGGTGGTGCGCGTTGCTAAAAATCTCCAAATATTGTGTCAGATTATCTGATAAAATTGTGTATACAAACATTGTTTTAAACAATGAAAAGGAAAATGTAGAATGTAAAAACTGCTTTAAATTATCTCTGATTTATTGAAAATTAGAATTGTGAAATGTTTGAATGAATGATTTTAGAGATGTGTGTTACAATATATTATAATTATCCTTTTCTGAATGAGAACAGTTTACTTGGATTGCATTTTATATGTATGACTTTTAATGACAATAATACTTCCCCTGAAAACCGTTTTTAGAACGAAATTCAATTACACTATCATAATGTTGGAGTCGTATCATAAGTCTGACGCCTCATAGGTCCGACGCCTCATAAGTCCGGAATTTCAAAATTATGAGGCGTCGGATTTATGAGGCATAACATTTATTTATTCCGCCTCATAAGTCCGAAACCTCATAAGTCCGACGCCTCATAAGTCCGACGTCAGAAAAACGAGGCGTTAAATTGTCGAACCCACGGTGCGTCGGAACTATGAGGCGTCAGATCGAGGAGGCGTCGGACTTATGAGGCGTCGGACCTATGAGGCGTCGGACTTATAAGCAGACCTTATAATGTTCCTTTCTTCTTAATGCATTGGTGGATTCGAACCTTTTGGGAGGATGGGTTGAGGGGTACGGATGATGGGTGTGTTGTTGTGCATATTTCGAAAAAGCGTCAGGGATATTTTGACCTCAAGAGTGGTGGCGTGACCAGGCTGGGAGGGGGGCATTGGTAGATTGCAACATCACGAAGATCTTAAAAGCGAAGTCGGGAAAGCTGATAGAAGCAAAATCGGGACGATACAATTTATAATTTGCAACGAGCAATAAACAAAACCACTGCTACTCATAGGCAAATGATAATGGCGTATGCAATGTCCTCAGGAGGACAATGGAGAAAATAATGTTCTGGGTTTTGTCCCTTCAAGGGAAGATACAACATTTGCAAACATCAAAGAACGGAATGATCAAATTATCACGTAATACCTTACTGAATTGTTAGGGAATGACTGTCTAAAGCATCGTTTAAAACCGTGGCTCCTGGTGTGCTGTCTTTTCAAGTCGGCCGACCAGCGTTGGAGAAAACTTAATTTTTTTCAAAAACCGTTCCCACTTTTTCATATTTAGTTATTCTGACCTTTCTTTGCAATTGATTTCACACCTGTGAAGGGTTCAAGCTTGCTAGACTTATTCTCTGACCTTACAATTCCCCAAAGTGTATTAATTGCTCCCTTCATCTCAAGCGGGCCAGGGAACCAGACTTCAAGAATATGATAGCTTTTCTTGGTTTTTCCAGCATCTACAAACCCAAAACGTGAAGTAAGTCAGTTTAACAATATTTTCTATAACATACTAATCCTCCAAATCCATTTATTTCTGAAAATTGCAGCAAAAGCAAATGTTGTACACTCCCTTTGAAAATATAGAAAATAACACCTAAACAACTGTATGCAAGGTGTTTCTTTTAGCAACGGGCACCAGCATTTTCAAACGTAAAATAAATACGAGAAATAAAAGGGACCAAACTTCGAAATGATTATGCAGCTTGATTACCCATTTTGAATGTTGTGGGGGAAATAACTACTACAGGTCAAAAATATTACTTTTACGGACATAAACATTTATCTTTTCATGTAAACCTACGAAAATAAAGTTGAGCATAACGCAACTTTTGCCCCACGAGCTGAAAAATGTCACCGCCCCTGGTAGAACGCGCGTCTGTACGCACTGCCGATCTAGTCTCTTTTATTTTTGTGGGGAAAATACGTTGAACAAAAAGGGCGTAATTAATTAATGAGGAAATGAGACATTTTCGTTTTCACGAAGGGCCTGGCATCTTTACTAATTAATTTTGGCTTTTTAACCACTATATTAAATAAAATTATTGGGTTCAAATTAACGTTTACCTATCAAAGAATTAAGTCAAGGTTTTCTTATTGCATAAAGTAGTTGCAAAGTAGTAGTTTTTGCAGTTTTAAAAACGGAGAAACTTCTCTTGCGATTATCTCAAAAACTGTTTTTCTTCAAAATCCACATGCCCGTCTTTTCGTGAAACTGATGACGAATTGTCTTCAAACATCACCAGCGAGCAAACCTCAGTTTAAAAGTTAAAAAAAAAATTAAAAGTCCTTTTGAAGGCCCGTCTTAAAAAAAAAACGGGTCAATAAATCATATTGTTTGCCTAGCCAGGTTGTTAATAAAGATATTGTGTACTACAATTTACTAGGACGTCACAAGAAATCAAGGCAGCCCGTTGGCACTCGTTATGAAGAGCAAAATGTCACAATGAAGCGAAAGTCTTCACATCAACAAGATTCTTACAGGACCATCAAGACATCACGACAGGCCGCTGGCACTCAGCCTGCTGATGATGCTGGTACTTCCACCAGGCCGTCTACAAGTCAGATCCCACAAACATCTGGAGTTACATCAAGGGAGGAGGTTGGCACTCAACCTGCTGATGATGCTGGTACGTCCACCAGGCCGTCTACAAGTCAGATCCCCCGAACATCTGGAGTTACATCAAGGGAGGAGGTTGGCACTCAGCCTGCTGATGCTGGTACTTCCACCAGGCCGTGTACACGTCAGATCACCCAAACATCTGTAGTTACATCAAGGGAGGAGGTTGGCACTCAGCCTGCTGATGATGCTGGTACTTTTACCAGGCCGTCTACAAGTCAGATCCCACAAACATCTGGAGTTACATCAAGGGAGGAAGTTGGCACTCACCCTACTGTTGATGCTGGTACGTCCACCAGGCCGTCTACAAGTCAGATCCCACAAACATCTGGAGTTACATCAAGGGAGGAGGTTGGCACTCAGCCTGCTGATGTTGCTGGTACTTCCACCAGGCCGTCTACAAGTCAGATCCCCCAAACATCTGGAGTTACATCAAGGGAGGAGGTTGGCACTCAGCCTGCTGATGATGCTGGTACTTCCACCAGGCCGTCTACAAGTCAGATCCCACAAACATCTGGAGTTACATCAAGGGAGGAGGTTGGCACTCAGCCTGCTGATGTTGGTACTTCCAACAGGCCGTCTACAAGTCAGATCCCCCATACATCTGTAGTTACATCAAGAGAGGAGGTTGGCACTCAGCCTGCTGATGATGCTGGTACTTCCACCAGGCCGTCTACAAGTCAGATCCCCCAAACATCTGGAGTTACATCAAGGGAGGAGGTTGGCACTCAGCCTGCTGATGATGCTGGTACGTCCACCAGGCCGTCCACAAGTTGTAAGTAAAAGTCGTCATTCTTCACTCTTCTCATATTAGCAAATGTTCCGTCATCTTTAATTTCACAAGCGTAAAACTCCTTGGTTATACTACTGGATCCAAATCGGCCCAACACTTTTGCGGGTAAACAAAATCACGTTTCCTCCCGGACTTGAAAAAATAATGACATTCGCTATGTGAATTTCGAATATACGTGTATTACCAGTCAACATTAGTAGGGCGTCTCGTGTGGGCCATAGGCGCGCATTACGGAAGGGGGGGATCACATTCAATCCCCTCCTTGGCTTTTAAACAATATGTACATTTGCACTACAAACCTATTTGAATGTCCAATGTTCAATTTCAAATAATGGACATTTGCCTGACAAACCCATGTGCGTATCCAGTGTCCAATATCAAAACAGCAAAATGAACATTCCCTGTAAAACGAATGTGAATGTCCAATGTCCAATATCAAATTACCCCCTTTTTGTGTCGGCTAAGCGTGGTTTTGGGAGACACTCCCCCTCGATTGTAGACACGTAGACCAGTACAAACCGTACGTATGTTAAAGTTTAAACAAACAAAAATGTTTAATTCTTCATGGATTTTGATGAAACTTTGACACAGTGACCCTTGGGTAGAAAAACATAACTCTTCATCAGATAACTGAGGACAAAGGTCATGTAGGGGCATTAGATGTCATTGTTAAGATATATGTACAGAATTTGATGGATTTTAAAGCCACTTGGATGCAAAGATACTTGGGGGTTCCTCGCAACTCTCCCGATATTAGAGGTCAAAAGTCATGTAGGGGTCATTTCGTTGTTTAAAAATGCACATGCGGTCCACGAACCACCTGTTGTTAATCCGATCTACTTACAACTTGGCATGCTCCTAGACCACAATCTGAAGACCTGCACAGACTCATGACGTCACGATGACGTTATTGATGGACACGTGACACAACTGTTAAGATGCATTCTTTGCAGGCCAGTATATCCTGAATTACTTGCGTTATATGCAAAATTTGATAAGAAGTTATGATGGCGTCATATGTGATTTTATATGGATATTTTAATTTTAAAGTCTCGCCGTATCTCAGGAACGCAAGACGCGACGATCAAATTTATGGTTGTAATAGGTTTACAGGCGATACACACTCCAACAAAAAACGGAATAAATGTGTGACGTCATGATATGACGTCATCCAAAAAAACAAAAACATTTTTCAAAACATAGATAAGTGGAAATAAGATCGACACGAAACTCGTCAGACAGTAAAAGTATTGTCATTGCTATGTAAAATCAGAATTTACGTCATGAAGACGTTATCGCTTACCTTAACCGATTTTATTAAAGTTACATATTTGTTCTGCTTCGGAAATTTGACACTGTTTTTTGTTGTATCAAGCCAGCATTTGACACAAAGCAAGACCGCATTATACATGTAAAAGTTGTCGAGTGTCGTCGTGATGACGTCATCATATATGCGACAATTTATTAAAGGTGAATTTCTCAAACTCGTATACAAGCCCCATTGGCATACAACTTTGCAGGTAAGGAAAAAGTCAGGCACAACTTAAACAAGACGACGTCATCCAGTTATTTTATATTATTTATTTAATTATTGTTATGATTTTTAAACGAATAAAGAAAATTCCCCCACAGTCATGAATCAGACAACGAAACATTTGTATGTGACCGAAAACTGATGCTGACTGAAAAATAATAGTTAATAAAGGAAACACAAAATATGTTTCACTTGATGTTGACCTTCTGCTTCCAAATACTGTAAAGTTATCAAACTGGTGTTAGGTGTAATTAATACATAAACTTATACTTACCATATCTACATGGATTATATTTACTTAATTATCAACAGGTTTCCTCTCCGAAATAAATCAGTATTCCTTCCCCGTTTGACTGATGACGTCATTAAACTGGAAATAAAATAATTATACGTATACTAAAATCGATCATACCCAATAGATAATATTTAAAAAAAAAAACCAACAAATGGTTGTACTAGAAAAGAAAACTCTTTTGCTTGTTTTTTTCTGTTCTGACAAAAACATTGGGCAGTGTGTAATGAAATGATTGTCTGCCCGACCACTTTGCGATGGTATCTCAATAAACGAGAACTTCTACGAGTATGATTAGTTTTTTTGATGTGGACATTTACAATTTAGTTTTCACCTGCAAGAAATGTTTTGATAAACCACTATTGAATTGAATTCAATTAAATTGAATTGATTTGAAGAACAATTTCAAGCTTTGACAAGAGCTTCTACATATCACTTGGTGGTCGGTCGGTCGGTCTGTATGTCGGTCCCCGAATATTGACCAAAAATATTTGACCAAACCTTATTGACTAAATGACTAAATGACTAATTGCCAAGCCGTCGTCAGTAAATGCACTTTTTACGAAAGACTTCTTAATGCAGGTTTTGTTTCTATCGATACGCATTCGCGTTTATTGTCATACGTTTGTCCCCCAAGTATCCCAAATTAAACAACTTAAGTTTCCCATAAATCATAACTACCAATATGAAGAAAAAAAATCTAACCAAATATTTGTAACAATTCGGAATGATGAACAATTTGTAACTGGACGCAAAATATGTGCAGTAATGTTATAGTCGCATTGTATTTTGTGTAGTGGCTGGAGGTGTCCTGAAGGAGGAAATATAATGTCCCCCAAAATGACCAAAAGTTTGGTGTTCCATATGTGCCATCGGCGCCGAATTTTTCGCCAGAGCTTATTGGCCACTTGCAATTGTGCTTGCTTTTGATTGTAGATTACCCACAAGAAAGTGGAGCCAGCATTGGAAACACCGGCACAGTCAGCGGTTGCCAGAACCCTATCATTATTGGTCAAAATATCATTAATATCAATTACAACTCGCCGTTGGAGGGACCAGGTAAACATAGAACTAATATTATTCGATACAATATAGTAGTTTGATATCTTAGATCAAGTGTTAATGTATTATTTTTAGGTAGGAAGTGGCATGGGGTGGTATAAACATGGAAATATTTCCAGTTCCGCGAGCTAGAGAATCACCAATTTCTTTGGAACAACTGTAGGCCATTGCATTGCAGTATATGGTGGACACATCATGAGGGAGCAATTTATAGTGGTTAAAGTCCTGTAATTTGTTCCTCTATGGGTGAAGACCTGTAAACAGGCCCAAAAATGCTTACGTGGGCAAGATCCCAATTTTGAATGCCTTGCTGTTATAGGAGCATTTTGTGGGCTATGAACTTAAGAGTGTGTATTGGTAGACAATATGTGTGTGTAGACAATGGCGATGGGCCACAGGACTACCTCTAGGATGGTGATCATCTTTGGATGAAATTTACTCCCTAAAGTCATCGGATCCCCTCTCAAGAATTGAATAAAAATTTAAAGATGATTAAATAAACTTAAATTTCTTTAATGTGCTGGGTTTCCTGAATATATTGGAGAGTTGTAGGTATTAAAAAAAAAATTGAAAGTGTGCGTAATTATCACAGAGGTCTATGGGAGTCGATCTATAGGTATGCAACCCCATGTACCCACGCCAAAAAGCGCCCATATGTATGGAACATCTGAAAAGGATTACTTTTAGGGTGATCATCTTAGGATGAAATGTTTTTTAAAGTCATCGGATTACCACTCACAATGTGAGCTTTATTTACGGTGTTAACATGTTACCGTTCTGTACTCAACACCGACGCGTTTATCATGATGCCTTTTCTTCTTGTTCTTAAATTTTTATCTAGGAAGTGGGCCACTACCATCAACAGGTCCTCAGCGGATAAGATTAAACCCACAGAATGCTGGCACAGGTAAGGATGTGTCGGTTTTTTCACAAGTATGTTATGATTTAGGGAACCATTAAGATGCCAAAAATAGTTCTGGTAACAGTTTTTGCAACATGTTGTCACACTTTTTATTTTTTTTCTCAGCCCCATTGAAATTACTAAAATGTTGATTGTCATTACTTAGCAGTTCCGACTTCCTTTACTTTCTTCACTCTTTTAGAGCTTAAAGACATTTTCACTAGCTGCAAAATTTGAGTCAAACTTTTGCTCCCCACGAAAAGAGCACTAGAGCACAGTGGTTAAAAGCCATACATGACCCAGACATCATTGATTTTCTTGAATCATCATCAAAAATATTGTTGAAAACGAATTCAAATGCGATTATTTACTAGGTAAGATATGTTCTAAATTCATTAGTATGCGCATCTATGTCAAAACGATGCAGATCTTGCTATTCGGGAGTTTTACTCGCCGTTGGTGAGTAACGCCCTCTGTTGACCAATATTATACAGTGTGACAACTATTTTTTTCAGTTCATAACTTCGCGGATCTAGGACAACATACGTTCATTACACTTTTTTGTGAAATTAAAAGTAAGAATTACCCATGTTTTTATTCAATTACAAAAATGGGACTTTTATTTGCTTCCATTCACTATTTCATAACCTGATTTAACGTAGGATTTTCTCGGTGTATTTGGGTCCGGTTTATCAATAAATAATTTCTTAAACAACAGTGAAGCTAGTAGTATTAGTCCATTGTCCACGTTTTACTTTAAGAAACTTCTAAAAAAATCCAACTTTTGTATCTTTGGCCACTTTGTTTCTTGAAAGAGAAAAAAAGTAAAAAACTTTAAAATTGTGGAGACTAAAGGCCTTTACCTTAAAGGACAGATCAGGTTTTGCTGTAAGTGAAAGTCATACAGAATCGTACTGAATGCTTTTTCATAATTAAATAGACAGGGCCTATTTCCAAATAAATGGCGTTACAATTTTAGTCCAAAGTTATTCTTAAACACATGGCATTTTGAATAAAAGTTAATGTCTGATACGTGCAGTTAGTTTACGAACAAAATGTTTTCTGTTCAAACTTTACAAGAAAGTTCAAGCTCGGATTTTAACTGCTCTACAATCTTCATGACATCAAACCCTACAAAGAACCTGCCTGTGCGAAATTTGCACCTTTATGTCATGCCAAGGACACCTTGGCTTGTCAACAGAGGGCGCTGTTTCTCTTGCTCAGCCGCTGCATTTCGATCACGAAGCCGGCGAAAATGATCGATTTTTTTGAATGAAGGCGATTTGGGGGATTTTCTAGCTATTTTAATTTCGTAGCCAGATAGTTTGTCTAACAATTAATGACGGGAAAAGTGCAAAATACCCTGGCCGTTGGCGGCCAATTGAAATAATGTGTAACGTTTTGCTTTTGTTAATATTTTTTTCTTAAAATAGCGATATACTCTTTATGTCTACCCTCATTTTACAGACCATTTTGCTGTAGGTGTCAAAATAAGTCATGTATCAAATGAAAGAGTGATACAGTGGCTTCAGAAGAAATAAGTTTCAGAAAACAACAGCTAAAGGTCCTGGACACAGCAACTCCTTAAATCCCATGAAGCCAAATTAAAATCTGCCATTATTGAATAAAGAGACTGGGAAATATAATGTCAATTTGAAGTGAATTAACCCTAAAAATAACTTTTTGGAGATTTGAACCATATCTGTAGACATTTCAAGTAAAAGCATATACACAAACTGGAAAAAATAATTCGGGTGAAATGTCTGGGTCTTAAACCACTGTGTTATAGTGCTGAAAAATCCAAGTGCGGTGCGATAGTGGCTGCGCTACGATAGGGTGCATCAACAATATTTTGTACATTTAGTTTGTATATTCTTTGTCCACTGTCTCATTAAAATACACATTAATTATCCAAACTAATTAATAAGCGGCTTCAATAATGATTCATTGACTGATTATAAATATTTACTAGAGCACCAAACAGCAACAACCATTGAGATGCTGCTATTCGCATTGTGGTAACAACCGTAGGGTACATTCACTTATTTAATCGTTCCATCAATACGTGTCATGTGTTACATACATGTAAACATTTATAAATCGACAGGAACCTGGGATCTGAACTCGTGTCAGCAACAGCTAAAAAAGACTTACAAGACAACAGATCGCATCTCTAAACACCCCACCTGCACCATCGATCCTCTTCATCGTGTGGCAGTTGATGAGTTGTATACAGAGTTACTTCTGTGTCAAGATGATTATACAGAGGTGCTTAAGGAAACGTTGGGGAAATTGAAAATTGATAAAGCTAAAACAAAACCATTAGACTCTTTTGCTGACATGTTAGATGCCAAAAAGATTAAGGAATTATTAATTATTCTTTCAGGTGGAGCTGGACATGGCAAATCAACTATTTTAAAGAAAATCGTAGATACTTGGGCAAAACGTGACTTATTTTCCAATTTCAGGCTTTTATTCTTTCTCGATTTAAAACATATGGAAAAGCCCTGTGTCATTGATGAAATTTTAAGCCAATGTTTTCCGCGAGATAAACGGCCAGGTCGCGATGATTTAATCAGGCTTATTACTGACAACCAAGAGGAAAGTGTGTTCGTATTGGACGGTTTAGATGAACTTCGACCCGGTTTGCTCAAGTCTAAGGGGAATACGGAGAATGGTACATTCTGTCTCTATAACGTATTGCATGACAAGGTTTTACAAGACAGTCGCGTGCTGGTGGCAACACGGCCACATATGGTAGAGCGTCTTCGGAAAGACAACCAGAACTATGCTCTCGTTCATACATCAGGTTTCACACCCGAAAACACCGATCAGTATATCAGGAAGCATTTCACGGATGATAGGAAAACTGAAGGAGACGGATTAATTGAATGCTTACAAGGAAAGGAACTGTTGAAGAATATGGCACGCATTCCACTTCTTTGTCAGATAATGTGCATAGTTTTCGGTGACGATGGTAAATTGTCCGACCGTTTAACAACATTGTACGAAAGATTCACGAGGGTTCTTGCAATGCGCCGCTGTCAAGAAAATGAAAATTGGGAGAATGAGTTGGATTCTGAACTCAAAAACCTCGGAAAGGTTGCATTTGAAGCATTAATTGAAGGACAAAATCAGTTGGTGTTGGAGTTTGGTGACCGTGAATCTGTCTTAGATACGTCTGCATCTGGAGAGAGTGGCTTCATACAACTAGAAAGTTACACAACTAGCAGCTTTGCTAGGAAGACAATAGTCACATTCCTGCACAAGACCTTTCAGGAGTTTAGTGCGGCTTACTTCTTTGCGCACTTGTATGACGAGAACAAAGAGGAGTTTCATGAGAGGTTGAATCAGATCAATCCAGACAATGTCCGTGCAATGGAATATCTGCTTCGGTTTGCATGCGGCATATCATCGGGGTCTCAAGCTACTTCGCTTATTCTGGAGCATGTACAAAAACAACGCAACAAGGAAGAATTGTTTCACAAGGTTAAACTGCAGCTACGAGGAAGGAGTTACGAGGAAGGAGTGGGTAGCGAGGAGGGATCTCGGGACGGGGGGCAATCGAGTGGCGAGGAAGGATTGATTGACGAAAAAGGACCGAGTGGCGAGGAAGGATCGAGCGAAAAGGAAAGATTGAATGTCGAGGAAGGATCGAGCGAAGAGGAAGGATTGAGAGACGAGGAAGGATCGAGTGTCGAGGGAGGATCGAGTGATGAGTTAGAACTGACAATCGATCAAAAACAGAATCTTACCCGCCTAATGCTGTTTGAGTCTGGTTGGACCGAACTGGCTGATAAGCTAGACCGACCAACTGAAGCGAAATGTGATGGTCAGGAGGATCTGTTAGCAATGCGCTATTACTTGCAGCATCTCTCGCAGCCACTAGTAGAACTCTCGCGCTTAACTGTCTACTGCACATCGCATGAAGAATTGGCGCCGTTGAGCGAAATTTATAGCCTACAACATGGTAAAACTACACTATTCATTTATTTGAATGTCACCTGTAGATTGCATGAATGGCTGAAGCTGCTGGGGGAGAAACTACCGATTGATAACATCAGGTCCATCAGAAAAATTTGGGTGTATGTCATTTACAGCGTGTCGGAAAAAGCGGACGAGGACATGGAGACAACTGCAGAGGTGGTTGAGAGGTTTCATGATCAAATAGAGCTTGAACTGGATATTGTTGACCTATCTCACGTTGATGAGCGTGTGTTAGGATCCCTGTCTCGTGTATGCAAGCAGATCCGTACGAAAGTCACGCTGTGGCAGAGAACGTATGATGACGTCATTAGACTAGCGAATGCACTGGCTGGTTGTGATAAGTTGCTAGAAGTATATGTGAGGCGTACCAACCTTCACGGCCATCTGGCTAGTATAGCCCCTCTTGTTTCTCTATCCCTGTATTCGTTGGAATTAGACTCATGTGGGCTGAATGATGATGACGTCCCTGACCTGATCAGCATCCTCTCTGCCGGGCATGGTTTGAGGGCAGTTAGTGTTCATGGCAATGCATTCAGTGTGGTTGGAGTGGAGACTCTTACTGCTCATCACAGGAATCTGCCTAAACTACGCACGTTTTTGCTTGAATAAAAAGGTCACGATGCAGAGCGTGTCAAGCAGCTGGTCAAGCAAAATCTTCCAAATGTCGACTTATTTTATTTAAATGATACAAACAAATAAAATTAACTTTTTGATTTTCGTACCAGTTACATCACCAACATTGCCAATTGGGCCTTTGGACTATTTCACACGAATCTCCAAATTAGTATTGTTGCCGTCATCATTACATGTCATCATCATCGTTATGTTTCTATGTAAATCACAACAAGACACACATTCCGTAAAAATACACACTGAGATAGGCGCGGATCCCGGGGGTGGAGGTTGAAACCCCCTCCCTGCTCTGACACACAAACAGAAAAATATAACAAATATAGTAATATAATTACATATACATGTATGTCTGCCTATCTGCAACAATCGGACATACAAAAAATGTGAAGGCCAAGACTCCCCCCCCCCCGCAAATACACCTGGATCCGCCCCTGTTGATAAGTATTACAAACTAACATTAGGTGAAGTACATCGCGTATCAGACATTTTGTTCAGCGGATTTGGCGTAATATCGAATGCATTGGCGTTAATTACAATAGAACACAAGATTGACTGTGAGCCCAGTAACTTGGTTCATGGTCTGCCTCTGTCCATTTTGTACCTTGTTCATATCCCTTGCCTTCCACCTCAGCATGTCTACGAACGGAGCTTGGCATTGCAGTGCTTGCTTGCCTCTACACAATTGGTACCCGGTTCACATCTTGACAATGTGGAATGACTCAGACTTAAAGTGCTACGTACTTCCCTTGCCTTCCATCTTCTCCATGGTTCGAATCCAACCATGGCTTCTTTGTTGTTTTCCTTGGATGCTCGTTTTGCTAAATCTTTCTATCCGCTTGACCTCTTCTTGACCTCTTCTTGTTTCTTGTCTGTTTTGGCGAGGTTCACATCCAACTAGGGTTTCTTTGAGGCTTAATGACTCTGAATCGTGGCTGTTTGTATTAGATGTGTTGTCTGGACATTTGAGGTGGTGGCCAGGTACTCCACAACCATTCGGTTCGATTCCATCAAGGGCAAATGCCACAGCTGTATCACGTGGCTTCTGTCAAGAAATGTTCTCTCTCATCCCTCTCTTGCTTCTTAGACTTGAATGTCCTTCCTTTTTTTCTCTCAACTCTCACAAATCACCTGAGGATTGCCAGAGACAAAACGCTGAACATTCCTGAACACTTCCAAGGCAACCATATGAAATACAGATCATGAAGATTTCAACATTTTTTGGCTTAGTCCCAAGAATCTGTTCAAAATTCAGCGTACAGCTCAACAACTCGTCATTTGCATTTTTCGATCAGACCTTGAATTGCCGCGGTCATAATTAATGACTCACACAGCGCTGTTCTGAGCAAGTGAAAATTTATGACAAATTAATAAAATCTTGCGTAAATATCCACTACATGTATTGTGAAGCACAATTGTCAGAGATTAATCTATGCCCCGCCTGAAAGAATAATTAATCAATTGAAACAAGAAGTGTTTTCTTGAGCTCTCAATGTGACATGTCATGTGACATGTATGTACAGAACACAAAATAAACGTGTATGTAGTATAGTTTATTGCAGAGACTTTCTGGAAAAAGGCATAACTTTGTCTGAGATGTAATATGGAAAAGGCTCAATTATCGCTGTCCTTATAGTAAGTCCTTTTTCAATTATTTGGAAAATCGTATATATTTGTTACCCCACGCAAGTCTGGCATTACGAAAGGGAAAAAAGCGATACAGATATTTGTACATTTTGCCATATACAATAGATAACATTGAGCACTTTTTCTGGTCATGTAAAATGGTTAGACCCATTTGGAACGAAATCGAAAAAAAATGCTGCCTTAAAAAAAGGTAAATCGATCACTCTTTTCAGGGTGCGTGAAACACATAATAGCTACCGGTTTTTAGATACTCTAATAAATATAGGTAAACAGACAGTAAGTCGTTGTAAATATGACCAGTGCTCTAACCTTGTCGTTCTTTTTGAGCAGGAACTCCAGCTTCGACATAATGAAATAAACGGATTTATGTGTTTTTGTTGTGTGTAAATTAGTAGTTTGTGTAGAGCAGATGATAGTTTTTATACATAATTTTTGTTATATATTAGGGGATTGAGTCTTTGAATAAAATAGAATAACAATGTAGTGTGGTATCCTTTTCCATAAAACATCTTCAAGACTAAATATCATCCCGTTTTATCTGTTGACTGTTCATTCTAATATATACGATGGCAAGATTTATTAATTACATTGTCTCACAAATCAGTTGGACAAGTGTCAATTAGTTGACATTCTAAATTAATTCTGGTACAAATTCTTACCAAAGGACAATATTAAACTATTTCGCATCATTATCGCTTACAGTTTGTTTCCAATTTTACCTCATTTCCGCAGTACATTAATCGTTTTTTTTTTTACAATAATCCGTAATTCATGAATCTACAGTAAACTCTAGATTCCTACAATAATACCGCATAATCTACACTTGTTAACAATAGTGTCATGTCACAAAAAAAGTTCAATCTGAAAGAGCAGTCGTACATTTTGTTAAATTGATGTATATGGGTCATTCCATAGATAAGAGTACCAAAGCGTGACATTGTTATATATGTTTTCTTAAAACTTTGCTGTATAAATTTGTAGGACTGGTTTATTTAGTACTTTAAACATACATTTTTCATTTTCGGACTTGATTTTCTTCTTACATGACAACAAAAATAATTTCTTCACGTGTAACATGGACATTGTTCATATGTAACACGTGAGTGAAACTGGTCACTTATTTGTGCCATATTTCTGTTGGTTTTCATAAACAAATCATATATTATATAAAGGAGTGAAGATACTTTGGCTGTTATGAACATTTGGATTTTCAATGACAGGCTTAAGAAATATAGCGCAAACAAGTTTCTAGTTTCACGCGTAACAGGGTAAACCATGGTGTTCCCAAAATGTCACCTTACAATGTGAAGCGAAATACCTTTTGTGCCAAATATCTGTTAGCTTTCTTTGAAAATTTCTCATTTCTATCAATCCATAACTTAATGTAAATGACACTTATTATTCTATAACATTCAGACAAGAACAGAGGGATATTTTGCACAAAATAGTGATTCTTTCCTTATTTAGAGGTTGGTTTCCCCATTACACGTGAAACCAGTAACTTGTATGCACCATAATCTTAAGTATTTCATTCAAAATGTCTCAATTGCTTTTAGTATGTACTCATACCGATTAGTTTATGAAATAAATGAATTTCAAACTTTTTAAGTGTAATCACGCAGGATATTTATGACAGAAAAGACGGTGATTTCACGTGTAACCAGGACACCGAATTTGGTGTCCCCGTTACAGGTTTGTCATTGCAAATAATTGGACGAAATTCACTTTCAATAAAAGTTGTCTATTTTTAGTTTTCGTCGTTACAATAACTGTGTTTACATCACGGATGGATAGAAGCTGGCGCGCGGTGAGCAGTGTTTATGAAGTGCACCACTCGTTGTTTAGATCAATAACTTACTAAATTGGTAATATTTTGTATTCAACTTTGTATCTATTTTTTTTAATGTATTTTTGTTACATTCAAAGTATGCTGCAAAATGTACTAAATCATTCGGGAAAACCTGGAAAAATTGAATAAAAAAAGGGCATGGCATTCTCACCAAATTTCGAAACATTGTTTATGGATTGTAAACGATATGATTTATGTACACGCGACCTTGCTCGGACGGAACCATGCAATATAAGCCTGTTGTCGCCACCGCTATGTGTTTATTCCGGTATTTATTTTCTCCCTTCCAGTAACTATTTCCCTCATTTTAAATGGAGCCGTTATTACATCAGTCTAATCTAGTCAGTTCCCCGACCAACCCCGCTTAGGCATCTGTGGTATGCAATTACGTAATATCTTTGCTGGCGCCACCCCGGCGAGCGGGAGATTCGAATCAGTTGCCTCCACGCTCCCGATCAACTCACTACACATTTCTGTAGCCAACTATTTGTAAGTATTTTACTTTAATAGATATCATGTTTATTTCTGGACATTTAATTCACCGTAAGCATTCATCCGTTTTCTATACTACTAGTGTCGGGCTCGATAATCATGGATACATTTATTTTAGTTTACGCCGAAATGTCTATCATTCCTTAGAGCCAACGTCTTCATTTTATAGGCCTTCACCCCGGTACATGGAAACACAAAGTATGGCTTCTTATAGGGATACAGTTATAGTAATATTATAATACATATTATAATATTATAATACATCTTTGAACTATGTATCAGTGTTGTATGTATATTTATTTGCTATTTATATTATTTGTACAGCACCCCAGAATGCCACCGTAAACCCCTGTACACCCACCTGTGAAACCCGTTACCTCACTGAGTGCGCTGACGATTGCTTACCCCGGGAACGATTGTAAGTCTATGTAATACCAGTGGGTTGCTTTATTTCAATAATTCATTGGATTAATTGCATTGAAGGAAATGTTGACTTCTCCACTACCGATGATGTTGTCGATGAGGTGCTGCCCATTCGTAATTGGTCTAATGTTCTCCTAAATCTATCGATAATAATAATAATAATAATAATAACAGGATTTATAAAGCGCCATTCCATCTAGATCATGGCGCTAAAGCAACACAAGATAATGAAAACTGACATATTAACATGAAATTGGAAACAGGTGAGCTTTTTAGTGTTTTCTGAGTAATGAAATAGTCTCCTGTGATCTGATGCTTGAGGGTATGGTGTTGCAGAGCTTAGGGCCGGCAATAACGAAGGCACGGTAAGTGGAGGTGTTCTTGGATCTCTGCACCGACAATAGTGTACCATCGTTACTGGAACCATAGAGCTAGGACCCAAGGAGTCGGAACTCTTGGGCGATTTACATTTTGACCATTTACATACCAATCCCTCGGGAATGCCTATAGCTACAGCACTGTGACCGCCGCAGCCTCGACCATTCAAAGCGTGAATGCCAGCGGCCTTTGAACACGATGATCGTCGCCGCCTTTTTAGTTGGTAACCAACAACCTCCATATATGCTGCATAATAAGTCATGTCACGTCGCTGCTCTTTTTTGAAAAATATATTTTACGACAAGATAGGTTTTTACAACTGCGCAGTTGTTTGGTGTGAGTTATGAACTCAAGTTAGCAATGTGCAGTTGTTGGTGCTTAAAAGCGTAATCTGTCCCTGTAATTTGGAGATAAATTGGATTTCTTTCAGATAAGTTTTTATGTATTTTCAGACATTTTAATTGGCAATATATCATTGATGAAATGTGTTTTTTTGGAAAATTTCACAAGTTTTCACACTAAAGGTACAGAGCATTTTGTTCTTCATGAAATGATTGTTCCAGTGATGTTGACCACATTTATATACAGTATCATCCAACTGCAAACAAACACTTTACCATGGTACTGTCTACGAAGCCATGCAAACTCCTTTTTTGGCATTAGTGAGCGCCGATCTCTATTGTGTCGATTTTAGGCCGGTTTGTCTCCGGCAGTGCGATATATATCAATATTTTGGTCCGACGCGCCCATTTTCGATGAAAGCAGTAGGCGAGTAAAACGCTCTTGCAAAGTACTGTAACAAACGAACTACCAATTCAGTAAAACAGCCATTTCTTTCTTTGCAAGAGAAATGTGAAGCTTTCGTTCCTGGAAAATTGAATTTCATTAGGATTTGGTTTGTTTTTTCGCGTTTAAAACACGAAATTGTTTTTGCCATTGCATTTTAATTGTTTGGCGGTTTTTCATCAAATTTAGTCTATAAGAAATGTTAATTAATACTGGTCTTTCTTGGGTTATTGCCCCAAACAACGAGTGCGCTTTTTCGACATAAGCTCAGCACGGGTACGAGTACTACACTGTCAATAGATATCTTCCTTCATAAATTCTAACTCATGCACGCATGCACATAAATTGGCCCAAGGGGAAAAAAGCGAAGCACTTGGGTCCAAACAGTGTTGTCATTTTCTCTCAATTTCTCCAAAATTTGTACCATCTGTCTTTTGAAAAGTCCCTGAACTCGTGATATGTATGTTTTGTGGTCTTAGTGGTTTTTTGGGGGCAAACAATAAGCATGTATAAAATTGATTTCGTGCCGTGCGCACGAGGTCAAGGGAAATCAGCATGGGCCAATCCATGTGCATGCGTGTATGAATTCGAGTTTATTGTGAACTGGTCTTTTGTGCATGCGTGGGCCGCTGGGCGTTGGCGCACCGTCACATTATGTCGCTTTCCTAGCCTGCCGAACTCAGGACAGTGTTGCATATTGATTCATACTGTCTATAACAACGGAACCGAACCTATTGAAGGACATCGGCGTAGGAACCCGGTACAGTACACACCAACAACCTGCAAGCCGGGCCATGTCACAGATGTTTTCTTTTTGTATCTACCCTGATCCCGATTCAAGATCTAACACATCACTTCTTAGCACGTATCTTGCAATCTGAGGAGAAAGTTCCTGAAATCTGCCAGGTACATGTCCGGAGATCAGCCAAAGCAAAGACAAGACCAGAGTCAAACAGGTACGTATACTGCAGGCACTGTGTCGAGAGTAACATTTGAACGATCTTGGATCCGCGATCAGTTCCCTTGGCCTCTGTGACATCCGTGATCGGTTGGCTCGGTTGGTACATTTGTACTTCGTGTGGATCTGACTGTATTCGGTCAACTGTTTGTCTTCGGTAATGTATTTATCTGAGTCGATAATGTATTTATCTGAGTCGGTAATGTATTTATCTGAGCGTAAAGCAAAGTACACAGCTGTACGATCAGTCAAATTCCCATGTACCTGCACACGTCTGTTGTACGAGTATGTTTAATGTTCAGGGGATGCACCCAGACTGGGAATTTGAGTTCTCAAAAACATGCAAAATAAAACCCTATTTACTCACTCTTTAGCCAACACAATTCTCCGAAATTTTCACTGGGCAAAGAAAAAGGTCCTCAGCATTTCACCAACCAAGTTAGAAGACTCAACTCAATTTCAAAGGTGATTTTTCTTCAATATTTTGCACATGAGAGGGAAGTCAAGGGATTTCAAAATGAGGCTAAAGACTAGACTTATCCATGTCTTTCCATGGTCTAACTGTTCGAAAAGACTGACTTCTTCATTCATTGTCATTATAGTCTGGTGACTGACTATGGTTGAATGTGCGGCAACAGAGACTAGTACCTCACATCCTATATATTTGTTTGGCACAGTTGAGTGATGTATTTCTGAAGAGTTTTGGACAGGCTGTTTCAGATGCCCGTGTATTTTCTTGTATTGCGTGTTGTCAGTACCTTAGTTGTGGGACTCTCATACACAATATTGAGTCCAACATTTCTGGACTAGGTTGCCCCTGAGATAGTGGCTGGAGTACCGTTTTTGTGGGAGGGATTTGGCAAAATACTCCGATGAGTCCGGCCAATGATTTTGAGCTTCCTACGCGCCTGGTCTTCTCGTGCTTGAATTGAATAAGTTCAAAGAAATTATTTAATCCATATCCCCTAAAAGTATCATTCATTTAAGGTTTTCAGGGTGGCTGTGCAACCGAAGTCCAGATTCCATACCCTGTGCGTGTGTTTGTATAGGTGCAGACTATAGGCATCAATGAGAAATGCGTAACCTCAAAATAGATCAAGAAAATGCTCATTGCTCCAACTGCTGATAGAGACACTTACATGTAAATCAAATGAAAGCTTGATTACCCTCTTTTACTTACTTTTCCATTCGGGGTTAAACAATCACTTAATATGTGCTGACTTTTCACTACAAAAATGACGCCTCGCGGATAAGCAGTCCTGAAGCCCATATCGCCATTTTGAAAAAAAAAAAACTATCCAGACACTTTATTCAAAATTAGAGATACTTAAATTGTGTCAAAATTTATGCAAAGTTTTCCAGAAATACAAGTTCCAAGACCATTTCAGAGCTAAGGCCCTTCATTTCCACCAACCCTCAAATTGTGATTTGGCCGGCATAGGCCATTTTGGGCCTATTTAATTACTGGTGTACACCACCCGTAGGCCTAATGTAGTTTAGAATATGGCCAAGCTTTCAAAATGGCAGCTTCGTCACGGCAAATCCTGACTGTACCATTGCCTTAACCGTATGGAAGTTGTCGTTTGACACGTATCAATGATTTCCTATACAGGCTCTTAACATAAGAAAAGAATCATTGTTGCTGCACTAGGCCTTGACTCAATAGTATGGCAATGCCTTCGGGCTTGAGCTTTAGAAATTATGTTCCCTCGACAAACAATATTTTTGTGTGTGTCTGTGTGGTTATTTTATGCACAAGCCTTGCCATTCAACCGAACTGCTAAATCTCCAGTGTACACTCCTGAAACGAAATGAAAGTCACAGACCGCCTACATATTTGTTAAAGTGTGTAGAGAAACAAAAGTACTAATGCACACTGGATGTAATACACTGCAAAAGATGGTTTTCTTTAAATAAGCGACTTTTTTCCAGAAAAAGAATTCAAGAAACCTGAACCTTTCTTACCCCTCGATAGATTGTCCAAGAAATGACACAATAAAATATTTCTTAGAAAGAAAAATCACTTTTAGCAGTGTGATATGTGGCCCTTTTAAGAAACAAGATTTGTTTGTCCTAATCAAAGTTTCATTCATTGCTTTATAATCGTCTTCACGATGGTAAAGAGTGAGGATTTAGTGGTCATTGGCCAACATGATGACTGCAGTTAAAGTTTGGTAGTTTTCCAACTTGGTATGAGATAACTCAAAATAACTGTCAACAGATTAAAATTCTTTGCATTATTGGATTGTTTTATTAATTAATATGTCAGAATTGTCTGTAATGATACATCTTCCCAGTTGTTAACCACCTTGCTATCAACAAGTTCAGCCGCCGCGTTCCAATGAATCGCGAAGGTAAATGAAACCACAAGCTGAATCAAGTGTGGCTGCAGTCTGCACGAACGCGAAAACAAGGCAAGCCTTACGCAGAGCATATGACGTTTGCATGTTTTCACCCGATTACAATATAGATCCTCTTCTCTTTTCCCAGTGCGGTGTCAAACACGCCGTGGGCTTGAGCTGCTAATTTTGGTGGATGGTGTGTGGATGGGTGCGTGGGTGATAGCGTGGGTGGACATTTTACTGGGCCTGATTGTATTCATACAGCTCAAGTATTGCAGCTCTGCATTTCAAGAACTGTTGCGCAAACACTGTTGCGCATGCGTTTAGTTTGCATACTTTTTGCATATTTTTTTGGCCCAAAACAGTGATAATGTGTACGAACTTATGCAATTTACTACAAATGGTACCAAAAACAGTTGCACCTTTGTATACGTGCAAGTCACACTCACCTTGCTCGTATACAAAGGTGCAACTGTTTTCCGTACCATTTGTCATAAATTGCATAATTTTGTACACATTATCACTGTTTGGGGCCAAACAAAGAGTATGGCTAGATAGCTCAGGATTTTCTGTACTGATCAGTCGTAATTTGCCCAAGATGGGCCCAGTAATTTAAGTTAGTTAGACCAAAAAAAATTAGTGGGGACCTTTTTTGGATTGAGTGTATTTAAGCACCAACAGTTTTAGGAATAATGATTTTTTTGTCCGTCCGAGCTGTTATGTTGTTGGTGATTCATTTGTAGTTTCAGTTCGTGAAAGTTAGCGAATGAACCTTTTCTGAGAAACGTTTCAATAAGTAAATCTTGATGTTCAAACAAGAACAAACACACTTAAGAATGTGTTCCTATAATGACATCACAGCCATTAGAACGTCCTCACTTGTTAAGAGAACCAGGAAACCACGGTTAAACATGTTCAATGTTTAAAGGGGCACTGCGTCCTGAAATCCCCGAAAATTTCATGTTTTGGATTTTTACTTATCCTATTTTAGACACCTGGTTGAAAAGAAACCGACCTTATGCCTTACCGTACACAAGAAAAGACAAAAAAAATGTTGTTTACATCGGACATGTCGGAGTATGATTAAAAAAAATTATTTAACTCTCACTGTAAAAACTCTTTCAATCCATTTTTTCCCCCATGATTCCCTTCAGTGTTCCTTTTCATTTTGCCACAGATAAAACTAACCCCAAAATGTATATTAACCTGTTTTCCAGAAAGGGGAAAACACTATGTGGACTTGCCCAAGTCCAAACAACGTCGCCTCTACCTGGTTTATGTGGACCTCTTTTGTTCGAAAGTCCACACAGTGAATGTAATGCCTACCCAGCACCGTACTCAGGAACAGCGGTGACCAATCACCAATGCACAAAAAGTGAATTGCGTCCGCAATTCAGTGTTTACTGTGAGATCTGCGATGATCTCTCCATTGCCCAGAGTCTGCGCCACTCAGTCCTAATCTTAAGATCAAAGTCATCAAAACCCTCTAAAGCCGACCTCAAGTCGACCCACGATTTGATTGCGCCACGACAGAACCGTCGGTATCAAACACAAAAATTATGCCGTGGTCACAAAACTGAGAAATCGTGTTATGGTCGCGGAACACGTCGCAGCAGTTGAAAGTTTTCTACTCTTGCCACTATTGATTTTTGTTGAGCGCCGCCTTATGCCGATCATTTTAATATCGTCGCAGTTACACTCAGGTCGCACTGAATCGGCGACTGAGTTGTTCCCGACGGTCGTAGCTCAGACGCACCTTGATAGCAATAATGTCCATCTGTGTTTATTACAAGGCCTTTCCTTCATATTCGTTCAGTGACAGTACTTCTACCTAGTTACTACCAAGATGCCGAAAAAGACCGTTCAGCAGTTGGATGCATACATTAAGGCAACAGCCGTCGTGTACGACCACTCCAACACCAAACTCATCAGCAGGAAGACTAACGTCAAACCAAGGAGGAAACAAGCTTTCCTGTCTGGACTGCATTTCGGGAAAACGTCTTCTGATGATTCCTATGCACAGAGGAGACCATTGAAACGATGGATTCGAAGAGAATCGAGGGGCACTCGCCAAAGTCAGAGGTAAACAGCAATGACATTTACACAGTCATACATTGAGACAAATAGAAGCTATATGAGAATTGTAACTTTATTTTGAAGGATTTATTTGATGTTTGATTCTTTCCAAATAGTTGTTTAAAAGTTTTAAAAAAATTGTACTATTAAATGCAACACCTTTATAAGAATAATGTCAGTGACAATTGTAGTTTTAAAATAAATTCTTCGTTGATCTCATTCTATTGTTTAATAATTTATTTCTAAAACTACACAGTGTTTCCCCCTATTTTCACAGTAATACCAAAGACGGAAAACAGAAACTGCATCTCTTTGTCCGGACTCCTCTCTCAAAAAAACCCAAGACACTTTACTTTGAACTCCATCCCGAGACATCAGTCACATCTCTTAAGGAAACAATCCAGAAGAGAATTGGTGTTGAGGCACGATATCAGCGTCTGTACATCAGGAGAAACTTCCAGGTAGGTATACTTTAATATCAATACAGATAATTTGAAATATCCCATCTTAGATATTGGCGTTATGTGATTTTCCAAATGGTAATATAAAACGTAAAATCGCACATGTTCATGTTTTAATCACTTTTATTTTTATTGATGATACACACACATTAAATACACAAACACATTACAATTAATCTCTCCATACTAAAGGTTAAACGAACATAATTTAAATTTACAAATAACGAAAATCCACTGTGTTTCCCCTGATCGTTTAACTTATTTTCAAACATTATTCACTTTGGTAGCTGTGTGACCTACTCACACTTGAGGAGAATGGTGTCGGCAAGGATGAAATCATCTCGCTCCATCTTTCAGTAGATGGTCCAAATGATGACTATGTATCAAAAGGTAAACTACAAAATGTGGGAATAGAATTTTCAAGTAAATGAACTGTATCTTTATTTGATATATTAATAAAGAAGAAGGTGTATTTTTTGTTTTAGCTTTATGTAATAATATAATTTCTTTACGTTGGTAACTTATACGGTGGTGGACGCATTTGAGAATGTTTCACTAAAGTTAATCATTATTTTGGTAGACAAAGCCAACATTGATGATGAGTACCTCAAGGACTTGTCTTGGAAAAGTGAATCATCATGGAAGGAACTAGCTGAACATCTAGGATATGAAGAAGCGGAAATTGCAGACATCCAATCCAGCAACAAAGGCAGCAATGAAGCTGGCCGTCACATGCTACTCACTTGGTGGGAAAAGACGACAGATCGCGACGAAGCAGCTCAGCAGCTGAGACGAGCACTGGAGGCCATCGGGTTGACTGATTTGGCCCAAAATGTACCAGGTACGCTAAAATTGAGGACTAATTTTTCAAATCAGACCACACGCATTTGACAGCAAATAGGTTATTAAAAAAACCTGCTCATTTAAAAACCGAATTAAACATAATAGTTCAAACCATTTATAAACGATATGATGCACTCTGTTTTCCTGCATGTATTAGTAAAGAATGAATCAAGAGACGAAGCATCTGGGCCCGAGCCAGAAAGGCGCCAAGATGCAGGAGTAGACGAGGAGAACAAGGAAAGCAGGGCGGCATCAAACAAAGAAAAGACACGGAAAAAGTAAGACATTTGTAATTTAGACAAACCTCGGCGCATCTGGTAAAACGTGATTAAATGCTGCTATTTGTACTGCACATTGTGTTTGAAGAATTACCTAGCATCACATCTTATTTTGTAAATAACTAAACGTTTTGTTTAAAAACAACATTTTCTCACTTAAACAATGGTGTACAAAAATGGTTAAAATTGTGGTCCATGGTCTTTACCTTCATTACTATATTGTAATTGCCAATTCAACCTATTACACGTGCATTAACATGCAAAACATGTTTTTCTGACAGTCTCAGTTATTTGCAAGTCTTCATCGGATGTCACGTGACACATAAGCCCAGAACGCTTTGTTTCCAATTGGATCCAGAGACACCTGTCTGGTGCTTAAAACATATATTAAACGAGATCATCAGTGTCCATCCTCAACAACAACGATTGTTCATCCGAAGAAACTTTCGCAACTTTGAGGTAAAAATGCCTCCACATTTTTCAACATTTCCATGTTGTAAAGTACCAATAGATATTTCATTATAAAAGAGGCCGTTGATCAATCAGCACTATCAGTTGCGTACAGACGCTGCTCTGATATTGGTACAATTATGTTGCACTAAAGTTCAGGAAACAATAAATACATGATTACTGTGGGAAATGTTTGCTTTGAGACCCACCAATTTAAAATAAACTCAATTTAAAACATTTACCCCTGAAAAAAAATGTTTCCTCAATTATGTTTTAATCCTAACCACCAGACTTTCGTCTTTAAAAAGCCTCCGTTTAAGAGAGTATTTTGTGAAGATCTTTAATATTGATTTGTTTCAGCTTTGTAACTTGCTGACACTTTATGACTATGGAATACAACAGGACGAGAATATCTCACTCCGCCTGTGTACTGATGGCTTACTGGGCGGTGGACCAAAAGGTAAAGTAAAATAATATATCTTGGGATGCCACATCCGTCTATCAAACTATATTCATGCTTGAGCACATACGTGTTTACGTCGCCCAAACAAAGTTTTGGGAGACACTAACCAGTCCTAAAATCTGTATGACCCTACGGTCACACAGAATTTAGCACCTGTGTGTATGTTAAGTAATTTTTTTTTTACAATTTCTATGGATATCTAGCACCTGTGTGTATGTTAAGTATTTTTTTTTTTTACAATTTCTATGGATTTTGCTAAAACTTAGATGCAGTGACCCTTGGGTGGGCAGACACACTTCTTCATCGGACTGCTAAGGTCAAAGGTCATGTATGGGTCATTAGAGGTCATTGTATATATATGCTTCAAACGTTTTATTGTCATCATAATTTGATGGATTTTAATGGAACTTGGATGGAGTGATATGTTCTGTTTGACATTTTGCGTATGGGGTCCGAAAGTTTCTAACAATCATAAGAACAACCCATGTAGCTGCCCATACACGTACTTGATACCAGCTTTTCATGAGTGCATGTGTATGCTCAAAACAATATTTCTGTTGTTTAATCATTCCAACCTTGACATTTTGCCTTAAAGCGTCCAACAGGTGACAGGTTTCAGGAAGATCCCCAGATTAACAAAAACACCAAGTTTTAGGTTAATATTACGCCGCAAGTTGTACGTCCAGAGTCTTAATTCTTCACTCTTCTCATGTTATAACAAATGCTTCGTCATCCTTGTTTTCACACTATTGAAACTTCCTGGCTGGACTGACCCATTATCCGGGTCCTAATTGGACTGACCATTTTCTGGGCAAAAATGCCGTTTTGCCTGGTCATATGACCCAGAAAGTGACAGTTTTTTTCTTACCCGAGAAATAGGTCTAGTGTAAGCTACATTGTATTTCGGACTCTTCCAACGCATTTATGAATACAGTTTGGAGTAATATCCTTGTTGTTCTTGTAGTGGAAATAACAGAGCCGACTCTCTCCGATGTCGCTCGGAGGCTTGGTCACGATTGGAAGGAACTTGCAATACACCTTGGCTTCACATCCGCAGACATCTCGACCTTCGAGGCTGACAGCCCAGGCAATGTTTACAATCAGACATTCATGATGCTCGTAGCCTGGCAACGACGGCAGCCCACCATTGGAGGTCAGATGGAAGTGTTGTGTGCAGCATTGACCAGGATCGACAGAACTGACATCGTCACGTTCCTTCAAGGTAAGTCTGATTAAGTGTTGTAACCATCAATGCGCAATGTTTTAATGAACCATACGTGTTGCATGATAAACCGAAGTGATTGAAAATTTTTAATTAAATTTCCATATGACTACTAAATGTACATATAACTGGTACATAAATTATGTTTTCCAACACAAAATGACAGTCAAGTGTGTAACTATATCAAACGCAGAAATATGTATTTAGCGATTTTCAAATCCAGTCCATCGTGCGGTTCGTGCACTTTGCTTTTCATCTTCGTTTATTGCAATCAAGTTCACATAGTATGAAACCTCAAGCTGTATGTACACAATGTTAATCACTGTTCACGGAACCAAACCCCCAAAAATTATATTTTATATTAAAAAAATATATATAGCACCACAAATAATAATGACTGGAAAGCCAATTGCATAAGCTATTTCGAAATAAAGAAAAAACTGGAAATGCTTAATCCGTTCAAAGAATATATCACCTTTGAAACACAATGACCCTAGAACCTCTTTCGTCCAAAAATGCGATTTCAAGAATAGTCGCAACAATTCATCACCGGTTTCACGAAGGGACGGGCATGTCAATTTCATTTTTTTCGATTTCGATTTTTTTCACTATTTTGCTTCCGCAATTTCAGACTTACGAGGCGTCGGATTTATGAGGCATAAAATTGTTTTATTTCGACCAGGTCTGTCACCTCATAAGTCCGAAGCCTCATAATTCCGACATCGGAAAAACGAGGTGTTAAATTTGTCGGACCTACGATGCGTCGGAGCTATGAGGCGTCGGACCAAGGAGGCGTTGGACTTATGAGGCGTCGGACCTGTGAGGCGTCGGACTTATGAGCGGACCTCATAATGTTCCAGTATTCTCAATGCATTGGTGGATTCGAACCTTTTGGGAGGATGGGTTGAGGGGTACGGATGATGGGTGTGTTGTTGTGCATATTTCGAAAAATCGTCAGAGGGATATTTGACCTCAATTTGACGCTAGAAGTGGTGGCCTGACCAGGCTAGGAGGGGGGCATTGGAAGATTGCAACATCATGACGATCTTAAAGCGAAATCGGGAAAGCTGATATAGAAGCGAAATCGGGACGGTAAAAGTTGCAACGAGCAATAAACAAAACCACTGCTACTCACAGGCTAACGAGATGGGTAAACCGTACGAACAATTTAAAAAAAAAAAATCTAATTAACTCCTCAAGTTTATTTCATGTGCTCTACCCTGTCACAACCGTTTTTAATTCGCTTCGTTTCTGTTACGTAATTGTATATATTACGCGCGCTACGGCTATCACGCCACCCCCGTATTGTAAAGTAGATCATGCCAAAAGTTTTTCGCCGATCGTGTACGCACATTTTCCTGGTAGTTTCTTTTCCAGCCACTAAAAATTAAGGCATTGATTTGGTCAACCTGCTAAAACGCCGTGCGTCGGGTACGTAATTATTATTGTCCGTGTTGCCATGGTTATTGATGTCCGTTTGTTTCTGTGAATGTGAGTATTGTGTGAAAGAATGTTGGTTGTTCAGTGCATTCTCTGATCGAGAGAGAAGACACACCAACAAATTTGAGAGTTCTGAGCTGACTGTGACAGAGACCGGTACCATCTTGCTAGGAGACGCCTGATACAGCAGGTTTTCGTCAGAAAATCGGTGAAATCTGCCACCGATCTTGTCTGATCCGCCAGTTTGGCAAAATCAGTGCCAAAATAGTCTCGGCAAGGCTAAAAGCCACCTTCCCGGTCCTGTAGACCACGCTCATAGCAACACTCAGCCTTCACAAGCATCATTATGAAGAAATAACCATGGCCGGAAACCTCATCACAGTACGAGTTGGGTTCATGCATGATGAATAGTAACGACTGCAGAACGACTACGATGTCAGTCTGTGCATAGTGTGTCCCGTGCCGATAGATCCGTCAGCTGGAAACGTGCCACAGAGACGAGACCCTCTACTAAGGAAAGTGCCTCGGTTAAAATTGTAAAATTTTAAATTTGCAGAAAGCTGTGATTTTGTTTTTGGAATAATCATAAGAAATATAACCGAAGTTGATATAGCTGTTTGAAGGAATTAAGTGTGAACAAAATTGTGATTGAATTGTCGAATTGAGCGTTCTAATCCGAAAGGTTGATTACTTTGATTTAACCAGTTTATCAGAACCAAACAGAAGTATTGATATTTTATTGAAGTGAAAAATGAATCGTGGTATAGTCACGGTGGGATTTTAGATCCAAAGTAGTTATATTTGATTGGACTGAATTCTGAACTGACTTTTGGAGCTAAGGCTGAATTTAAACAAGAGTTACGGCTGAATTTAAATCCCAATGTAACACATCAGGACACATCAATGGACGAATTCTCAATTTCAATACATTTGCTATTTGTTGAGTTATTTCCCAAACAAACGTGTTCTTTCTGTTCAATAGTGAGGCCAATGGTGTCGCCAGTATATATTTTTTTTCGGGGGGGGGGGGGGACAAAGCACATCCCCCCATCCTTTCTCTAGCATACTCTCAATTTATCATTTTTTGAGGATGTGTGGAGGACATTTGCCACCCAACCCATTTTAATATTTTGTTAAAATAATGTGTATTAAAAATAGCACATTTGACTTCACAACTCGTTTTCTGTCTGTTTTTCTTCTCCGCCCCTCTCTTTTTCTCCACCCTCCTTTTTCGATGGGTGTGGGGAGGGGGGGGGTGGCAAGCGGCCCCCTTTCCCCCACTTAAAGACTACCATGAGTGAGGCATCCGGAATGATGTTTCGTCAGTACTGTTGTTTGCAACACTATTGATGTGTTGAGTTATTGCCCAAACAGGGCGCCCTCTATCGACAGAAAATTGAAGAAGTCCATTAGGCCGGTTTGTCTCCGG